TGGGCTTAGGCTTAGGTGAATTTGCACGCTTCTTAGCCGCAGGATTAGCATTGGCCTCGTTGCTCGATGCCGCGGCGGCTGATTTGCCGCCCGTGGAGGCATGGCTAAACTTGCATTTGTCACCTCTAGTGCACTTCCCTTGGGCAAAGAAAGAACACGGTGCTTTCTCTCCTTTATTGCCTTTGGGGGAACTCGGCCTGCCACGGGTCGCGGAGCGTCCTCGCGGCTCCTTGCGGTGCGCGTAAGGGCAGTTTGCCCCCCTCGTGCACGAGCCCTTCTGGAAGTCAAAGCAGTACTTTTCCTCGGTGTCCTTCGGCTTAGGTGTGCTCTTTTTCTTGGGGTCCCTCTTTTCAGGGGCGGCGGCACCAGCCTTGGGCGTCGGGGCTTTACTGGCATTGACTTTGGACACGCGCTCTCGGTTCTCGCGAAGCCTATCCCTCTCGATTAGATCCCTCATGCAACGCATTTGGAAATCGTACGACTTGTTGGGATCATCATCACGGCAACGATCATATGTGTCAATGTCGTACCGCAACAGATGGCAGCTTCTCACTTGGCGAAGCAAGATGTCTTTCAACACCTTTTCTTCTGGCGGCCTTTTCATGCCGGCGATCCCGGAATCCCAAGCGTTTAGGAAACGCTTGAGATCAATGATTCCTTCGCCGTGTCGCGAGACACGCAACAGGTCCTCCAAGGAGTAGAGGTTTCCGGCTTCTTCACTGGTCTTGAAATATTGGTCAAACATAAACAAGACCTGCCTTCCTCGCATGGCCTTTCCCTCCTTGGCACATTCTTCCTTTGCTGTCAGGATTCGCTGAGCCAGATCGCCTTTCGCTGAACGCGTGAGCGCTGCAAGAATCTTCGTGTCTAGGGTCACGAATTTTCCCGGTTTGCCAAGCTCCTCCAACAGCTTCTTCTTGTCCTCGCGGTCGGACCAGACTTCCATGATCCAAGGCCAAGCCTCGTCTGGACGGTCAGACGCAGCGCGGACATCCTCACGAACCGATGTCTTCCATTCACGGTACGTTTCAGGAGTTGGCATCTCCTTGAATCGCAACGTCTCGCTTTCGCGGGTTCTGGGCTTTTCATCGTTCGTGTGGCCTTTCACTAACTTCATCAACATTTTGGCGAAGGCTTCTTGACCGAGGTTAGGCCCGAGGCCATCACCTTCGTCTTCATCACCATCGCCATCGCCATCATCATCAGGTGGCGGACCGCCAGGAGGCTTACCACCCTGCTTACGGTCAGTTGGCATTGGCCCCTAAAAGAATTGCAGGGGCGGAACCGGTGCACTTGTTTTCACCGGGGATCGGCTGCTACCTGATGGCTTTTCAGCTGGTCCTTGCGGATCGCGAGCATCTGCGGGCAGTGCATCGCTTTCGGCAGTTGGAATCACGCTAGGGGTATATTCAACCTCGTAACCGTCATAGGTAACAAGCGACCTCAACTTTTCCTTTGCATATTGAAATGGATTGGACAACGGGTCCAACATTGACCTTTGGGACCGAGCTGACTTCATGTCGTCGGTCATCAACTCTGGTGAATCCTCTCGGGTATCACCTACCCCTTTGGGCTTCGATCCATCCTCGCGGAGGTCGTGTTGCTTCTGATACCTCTTCAGCTCATCGAGCTCGTCCTGCAGAAGCCCGTTTTGGTAGGCCATCATATCAATCATCCTGGCGTTTTTTGCTTCGACACGGGCTGTGTCATCGGCGTGCTTTGCGGCTTGCTCATGAAGGAGCTGCTGGGCTTCCGCCAGGGTGGATTCGATGGCTTGCCTAAACTCAGTTGTTTTGTGTCCCATTTCCGCTTCATGCAATGCTTGGGCATTTTCCTCACACACTTGGCTTATCCTAGCTTCAGCGAAGTTCACTTCTTGGATGAACTCATCGCTCACTCGCTGTTCGTATTCACGAATTCTATGCGACTGGGCTTGCACACACTCAGCGTAGTGTGCATGCAGCTGATTCTGTGCGACACGGAGCTCCTCACGGTTTTCCGCTTGCAAATGCGTGACAGCTGCTTGATGCAGGGCTTCGGCTTCAGACCTAATGGCTGCATCATTCCCAAAAGCAAAGATTGCGGTATTGTACAGTTGAAGGGAATTCATCAGGGTGCGTTATACTGCGCATTGGCGCTTGACGCGAACATTCGCGCACGGCTGCCGGTGGCGTTGTCGGAGCTAACTCCGGCAGCATCCACAGGCATGTTGGATCCATCAACTGGCACAAGGGAACCGTCCATTGCTTAGAGCTAGGGGCCTACGGCTGATAACCTATAGATTCAAGGGTTACCGGTTTGGGGCCCAAAAGGAAACAACAAACCGTCCAAGTGCGCTGCTCGCACATTTTCACGCTTGAACAGCCACACTGCGGATGCAACGGATGTAAAACCCCATAATGACCGATCAAATTCTTCAGGTGCGTTGGTGTGTTGGAGTGTTGGTGCGTTGGTGCGTTGGTGTGTTGGCGCGCTGGCGCGCTGGCGCGCTGGCGTGTTG